CCCCCCCCGGGAGATCCGCCCGATCCCAGTAGCCTGAACGTCCGAGCTCGCCCCGGCCGCCTTGCCCCGCGCTGGCGCGCTGGCTGCATGCCCCTCTCCCAGGTCTCGCGTCGCCCCCTGACCCCAGGGCGGTGCGTCCTGGCTCCCCATCAGTTGTGCAGGGTGAGTCACGAGGCCGCGAGGAAGCCGGTGTGCGGCCCTGAGACCTTTCTTACCCGGCCAGTGCCCTCAGAGGAGTGCCCCACATGGAACCCGGAATCCCGCACCGAGGGCTCCGAGCTCTGCCTGCAGCCGCGGCCTTTCCTCTGCTGCTACCGCGCCGGTGCGCACTGGCTGTGGCCCTGGGCTCTGCGGAAGGGGAAGCCGGTGGTGCAGCCTTGAAGGAGGATGAGCGGTTGGCAAAGTTGGGAGGATGAGCGGTTGGTTGGGAGTTCAGAATTTTCTTCGAGAATTTTCAAGGCCTCCACAGAGTCTAGACCACAGGGCAGTGGGGCCAGACAGACTTGGGGGTGAGTCCCAGCTGCGTGACTTTAGGCGAGTGATTTTGCCATTCTGTGCCTTAGTTTCCCCATGTAGAACACCATGTGGAAGGCTCCAGACACACAGCTGTCAATATGCTAGTTCTCCCCTGGGCAGCACGTGGAAGGTTGGGGTCACTAAGCATGCTGGCACCTCTGGGCAGGGGTGTTGCGCAGGACCGAGACTGGCATCCACTCCTTTACAGAGACCTATCGGCGGCTGCAGGAAGCCCAGTCGTGGTCCGGCCAGGATGTGATCAGCCAAGTCAATGCCTTGGCCAACGCCATTGTGGTGAGCCTCCTCCCAAGGGGCTGGAGAGTCTCAGGGCACTATGGGTCACCTTGCTGCACCTCAGTTTCCTCACCTGTAAAGGGGACACCCACCTGACGTGTCTGCGGGAATTAAAGTTCATGCTCCCTATTTTGGAGCCCTTGAGAGCTGGGGGCTTGTGACAGGTTTGACTGGCCCCCACCAAAAAGGCCCTGGCAGAGCTCAAATGTGGCCCCTGGGGGAATCCCCTTGTGACAGTCAGACCAGCAGTGAGCGACTCCCCTGCCCACAGCTCCTCCCGGACCCCCTCTCCGAAGTCCGTGGCACCCTGTCCCTGGCTGAGGCCTCCAGCTTCCTGGGCATCCTGGAGAGAGTCCTGGCAAAGCAAGCAGCTCCACTGGGGCCAGGTGCACTGCTGGCTGTCATGCACTTCCTGAAGAGGGTGACGGCCCTTGGAGCTGGGGAGCCAGAGCCCTTAACAGGGCCCTGGGAGCAGCTGGGCCAGGGCGTCATGTCTGTGGCCAGCTTGGTCCTGGAGGAGCAGCTGGCTGGTGCATGGCTGTCCGTCAGTGAGGTGAGGCTAGCGGAGCTGGGTGGGGCAGGGGCCCAGGCTCTGGTTCTGACCTTGCCAGCAGCTTGTTGTGTAGCCGTGGGTGAGGCAGCACCCTTCTCTGGGCTCCATCTCTCCACCCGTAGGGACAAGCTCCTCTTTTGTCTATTGTATAACGAGAACTTCCACATACAACCGCACTTGAACAACGGCTTCTGCACTTAAAAATGATTAAGAGCCGCTGATCAACATGGGCCTCTCCCGTATCCGAGAGTCTGCTGACCACGTTAAGTGGGACGTTCTCTGTACTGAGTGTTCAGCCCATCTTTTCTGCCTAAACAGCCCACACACTCTGGAGAACATGAGAGGTGCTATCCACATGGCGAGGCTGTTGGAAACCTGGTCCTCGCAGAAGGGGCTGTAGGCCTGGGAGTAATCAGCCCAGCAAAGGGAGGGAGCAAGAGGTCATGGACATTGCCTGCGAATCTCTAGGGCTGAAGGAGCAGACGTGGTCCTCCTGTGGCCTAAGAGGACAGAACTGGGACCAGGGCACAAGGGTAGAGTAGAGATGGCACAATACAGGAGGCTGGTTCCATGGAATGGTTCACCTGGACAGGTAGTGAGCTCCCCATCCTGAGAAGTGTGCAAGGCCACAGTTGATTAGGAATTTGAGGCACTGTGGCAGATTAGGAAAAGCTGGATCCTGAACCTCAGTTTTCTTCCCTGGAGAATGGAGACTATCACACCTTGCTAAGGCAGTGGAGAGGAGTTAATGGGTGGTAACTTGCCCAGCACAGAGTAGGCGTCCTGTTAATGCACATTCTGCCCCTGCCTCCCCTGCTCTCACCACCCCCTCACCCTGCGCCCCCCCCCCCACACACACACGGCTTCCTTTTGGAATCTCAGCCTTGAGCACTGAATCAGGGTGAGAAGGGGGAGGCATGGCCCAGCCTTCAGAGTATGCCCCAGTGGGCAAATGACAGGCCGGCAGGCACAGAGCAGTGGTAGGTCCTTTGGTTTGATTGAGGATGGGTTGAAAAGGTGAAAGGACACTGGGGAAGATGGGGCTTCAAACACCAGCCTGAGGACCTAGGACTTGATCCTGGAGGCCCTAAGGAGCCACCGAGGGTCTAGAGTGGGCAGAGCCAATTTACAGATCAAGATGTGTCGACCCCAGTGGTCAAGGCAAGCGGTAGTGAGGTGTGGAGTATGAGAGAGAGCTGAGACGCAGCTTCCTCCCAGGTGGTAGGGGGGCCCATGGCGCTGGTGGCGAGCGTGCAGCGCCTGGCACCCCAGCTGAGCACCATGCTGACCTCCGAGAGGCCGCGAATGCACATCCAGCACCGCCATGCCGGTGAGCCTGCCACCCCACCCCGCCTGCCCTGCCCTCACAGCCCAGATCAGATCTCTCTCCTCAGCCCTGGTCACAGGAGCTCTCTGCACCTCCACAGACACTCCGTTCTCTTTTCCTGCCTTTGCCCAGTCTCTCTGCCCTCCATCCAGAATGCCCTTTCTCCCTTGAGCTCCTAGCAAACTCCTATGCATCCTTCAGAACCCTGCTTGAGAGTCAGCTCCTCTAGGAAGCCTTCCTTGGTTTCAGCTCTCTCCTGACCGTCAGTCACTCCCGCCTGTGTTATCCTAGCATCCTGAGCATATCTCTGTTGCATTTGTGGTGATTACATAGTGAGATTGTCCCCCCACCACCCCAACACTCTCTGAGTGCCAGGGCTGTTTCTAGTCATCTCTGTATCTCAGGGCCAGGCCCAAGTACACACCCAGGGGAGCACCTAGGGTGGGACTTCAGGCACAAACTCGGGTCCTTCAGGTGCCCACTAGTTTCTGGTGGCTCACCGATATTCAGGTCCTGCCTCTTGGTGCCCCTCTCTTCTCAGTGACCACCCCCCTTCTCCTGGACTTGGAGATGTCAGATTTGCCTTGGGCTAGTTGCTGAAGCTCTCTGAGCAGGAATGGTGGCCTTCTAGACCTGTGGCAGGGACAGGGGGACACAGACCCTGCCATCTGGGCTGGCTCAGCAGAAAGAGCTCTCTCCTGGGCCGGCCCGGTGGCGCACTTGGTAGAGTGCAGCGGCGCTTCCGCCGAAGCACCTAGGGTGGGACTTCAGGCACAAACTCGGGTCCTTCAGGTGCCCACTAGTTTCTGGTGGCTCACCGATATTCAGGTCCTGCCTCTTGGTGCCCCTCTCTTCTCAGTGACCACCCCCCTTCTCCTGGACTTGGAGATGTCAGATTTGCCTTGGGCTAGTTGCTGAAGCTCTCTGAGCAGGAATGGTGGCCTTCTAGACCTGTGGCAGGGACAGGGGGACACAGACCCTGCCATCTGGGCTGGCTCAGCAGAAAGAGCTCTCTCCTGGGCCGGCCCGGTGGCGCACTTGGTAGAGTGCGGCGGCGCTTCCGCCGAAGGTTCAGATCCCATATAGAGACCGGTCTGCTCACTGGTTGAGCGCAGTGCGGGCGTGACACCGAGGGTTGTGATCCCGTTACCGGTCACGAAAAAAGACAAAAAGGAAAAAAGAAAAAAGAAAGAGCTCTCTCCTGAGGTCCAGCCACCCAACCCCATTTAATCCCAGGCCTGGAGGTGCGCAGCCTACGCCTGAGGGAGGCCAGCACGGGGGGCTATGTATTCACGATGCCCGGTGGGCATCCAGAGGGGCCTGGCCACACCCACATCCCTGCAGGAGCAGTGAGACGGCTCCTCAGGAAAGGTGAGTGAGGATGAGGGGTTTCTGGAGCTCTGTTGGGGTCTGGGCCAAACCTCAGCTCTGACACTTGCTAGCTGTGCTGCTTTGAATGAGCAACTTCACTTTTCAGAGCCTCAGTTTCCTTGTCTGTAAGATGGGCAGATTAGCACTTGCCTCGTGGGTTGTTATGAAAGCACCCACCACACAGTAGGTGTGCACTTAGTTTCCTCCACTGAACCCCACACGTTTTCCCTGAGAAGTGGGTGGGGGAGGGAGACCCCCATCCTTGATGTCGTGCAGGCTGGAGGATTAGGGCAAGGTACAAAGGGATTTGTAGCTATGCAGTTAAGCTCATGGGCTGTGGCTTTGCCACTTGTTAGCTGTGTGATCTTAGGGAAGTCATTTAAGCTCTCTCATGAGCCTCAGCTGCCCTATCTGTAAAATGGGGAGAGCATTACCGTCGGGGCCAACTGGTGGTGCTTGCTCAGTCACTGGGTGGCATCTTGGGTGCCCCTCCCGCTCAGCCAGGCCTCTCTGGAGTCACTGTGATCCACAGCTGGTTCACCTCGAGTGTCTTCCAGCACACCCTGGGGGGACCTGGCCTAGAGCCCCAGGCCCCTGAGAACTCAAAGGAGTCCAGCAGGACGCAGAGGTGAGTGGGCCCCACCCAGTATGCTACTGAGGGCCTGTGTCCCCTCCCCAGGAAAGGCCTGGCCTCCATCCCCTCCCAGAGCCCCAATTCTGGTGGGCAAATCTGTCCTTAGCAGTCCAGGGCCCACCCTGTCCCTCTTTCCACCCCAACTTCTGGGCTTGCCACAGGTGTGGCTGGTGGAACATGGCTCAAGCCGTCTGAAGTCCTGGCTTCAGTGTCGAGACCCAGGGAGGGAACAGGGCTTACCCAAGTTACCAGTGAGTCCCTATGGCAAGGCTGGAAACCAGGTGCCCTAATTTCCAGCACAGGCCTTTTCCTGATATCTCTTTGGACACAGAGGGTGCCATCTCCACCACAGGAGACTGGATGAGATGCCCCAGCTGGGCATGACCTCTCTCCCACAGCCATCCTTGAAAGCTCCCTTTCTCCCCACAGGTTCCTAAGCACCCAGGTGGGGTCAGCCATCATCTCCTCCGAGGTGTGGGATGTCACCGGGGAAGTCAGTACAGCTGTGACCTTTCACCTGCAACACCAGACCCAGGTACTGGGTGGTGCTTCTGGAAAACAGCCACCCCACTACACTTATCCTGGTTCAATCTCTCACTTGATCTGCAATATTTGTTCATTGGCCAACCAAGGTCTAATAATATACACAAAAATATTCATCCAGAAGCTGTCCCCACGGCCCTCAAGGGACTGGGAGGAGAAGTGATCTGTTGGAAGCTTTCTTTATGCCAGGTGGCTTAAATAAGTGGTGTTCATTTAATCCTCCAACTGTCCACTTCACATAAAGTTTGGAAGAGCTGATGTGATTGGCCCCCGGCTCGTAAGTGGCAGAGCTGGGATTTCATTCTAGGTCTGCGTAACTCGAAAAATTGGTGGTTTCCATTGAGTCATAGACTGAAGTATGTGCACAGGGAGACATTCAGGGGCCTTCACTGCAATGTGCTTCCTAAGAATAAAAGTAACCTAAATGCCCATCAGTAGGGAACTACTGAAAAAGCCTTGGAGATACATGCCAAGGAATAGTCAGCTGAAGTCATATAAGGAATGAAGTGTTTTTCTGCAAACTGACATGGAAAGATCTCCAAGACATGTTGTTAAATTTTATTTCATATGTAAAACACAAATTCCTTCTCCCTCTTTGAGACATTAGAACATTTCAGAGAAAGCTAAAGTCTCCTATGCTCACAACCAGTAATCCTGGATACACACGCACGCGCGCGTGCACACACGCACGCACGCATGCACTCCCCGAGTATCAGCCTTCTTGCACGTCCTCCCAAGACTTTTAAAAAATCAATTTGATTGAAGTGTATAAATCTACATAGGCTAAAATGCATCCATTTTAAGGGTACGATCTGACAAGTTTTGACCGGGGTATGCAAGCATGTGTCACTGTCCCAGTCAAAGTAAAGAACATTTCTCCCTTCCCAAAAGATTTCTTTGTGCCCCTTCCCAGTCAATCTTCTGCACTCTTGCCCCAGGAAATTACTGATCCGCTTTCAGTGACTATAGATTATGTCTGTCTGATCTAGAGTTTCCTATAAATGGAAACATACAGTGTGTGTAGAGATCTGGCTTCTTCTGTTTTTGAGAATCACCCATGTTATTGCATGTTTCAGTAGTTCATTCATTCCTTTTTATGCTGAGTAGTATTCCATTATATAGATGTACTGTATTTTGTTTTTCCATATACCTGGTGATGGAGATTGGAGTTGTTTTCAGTTTGGGCTGTTATGAACACTCATGTACGAGTCTTTCTGTGGACATATGATTTCTTTCTATTGGATAGATTCCTGAAAGTAGACTTACTTCCTGGATTGTATGATAAGTGTATTTTAACTTCGTGAGAGACTGTCAGACTGTTTTCTGAAGTGGTTGTACCATCTTACATTCCCACCAGCAATATGTGACCGTTCCAGCTCTGCCACATCTCTGCCAACATCCTTGCAGTCTTTTTAATGCCATTCATTGTAATGATTATGCACTGATATCTCATTGTGGTTTTAAGCTGCAATTCGTTGAAAACCTATAATTTTGAGCATCTTTTTATACACTTACTGAACATTCACATAGCTTCGTTCGTTGAATGTCTTCAAAGCTTTTCCCCAATTATTTTACATTTGTTATGTTATTGAGCTGTATCAATTCTATATACGTTTTGGATACAAGTCCTTTGTGAGATATATGTTTTGTGAATAATTTTTCCTAGTCTGTGCCTTGCTTTTCATTTTCTTAAGTGTCTTTGGAAGATAAGTTTGTAATTGTGATGAAGTCCAGTTTATCAATTTTTTTCTTGCATGGTTCATGCTTTTCTATCCTATCTAAGAAAGCTTTGCCAGTCCCAAGGTTACAAAGATACCCTCAAATAAGTTTATTGTTTTAGCTTTTACTTTTGGGCCTAAGAGTTATTTCAGGTTAATTTCTATGTAGTATGTAACATGCAGGTTGAAGTTTATTTTTCTCTTTATAGACAACCAGCTCCAGCAGCATTTGTTGAATAGATTATTCTCTCCCCCATTAAATTATCTAGTCACCTTTGTGGAAAATCAGTTGTCAGCATATGCGTATTTCTGGGCTCTCTGTCCTGTTCCGGTCATCTATGTGTCTCTCTCTGTTGTCAGCTGGTGTCCTCCAACTTTGCTCTTCTTTTCAAAATTGCTTTAGCTTTCCTAGGTTCTTCACATTTCCGTATAAATTTTAGAATCACCTTTTCAGTGTCTACAGAAAAAACGTGCTGAGATTTTGATTAGAATTGCATTGAATCTTGGGCCGGCCCGGTGGCGCACTGCTACAGTGCGCCACTTGGGAGCGCGGTGGCGCTCCCGCCGAGGGTTCGGATCCTACATACAGACCGGCCGCTCACTGGCTGAGCGAGGTGCAGGCACAACACCAAGGGTTGCGATCCGTTGCCGGTCACGAAAAAAGACAAAAAGGAAAAAAAAAAAAATGAATTGCATTGAATCTTTACATCAATTTGAGGGAAATGGCCTCTTAACAATGAGTCTTCCAATCCATGACAAAGTTATCATCCTCTATTTATTTAGGTTTTCTTGAATTTCTTTCAGCCGTGACATATAGTTTTCATTGTATAGGTCTTGAAGGTATTTCGTTAAATATATCCCTAAATATTCCATAGTTTTACATGTTATTGTCAGTAGCATTGTTTTATTAATTGACTGTCAAATTGTTCATTGCTAGTATATAGAAATACAATTGAATTTATACAATGATGTTGTATCCTGCAGTGTTGCTAAATTTACTCGGTACTTCCAGTAGCTCTCTTGGGGAATCCTTACGATTTTCTGCATACAAGATCTATCATCTGAAAACAAAGGTAATTTTGTTTCCTCCTTCCCAAACCATGTCTCGCTGTCTTCTTTTTCCTGCCTCGTTGCCCTGGCTGGGACCTCCAGTTCAGTACTGAATAGCAGAGGTGAGACCAGCCTTCCTTGTCTCATTTCCCATCTTAGGGGGAAAGCAGCCAGTCTTTCAGCATTAAGTGTGATGTTAACTGTGGGTCCTTTATAGACGTCCTATATCAGATTCAGTTCCCTTCTCTTCCTGGTTCACTTTCAATCTTTGTCATGAATTGCTGTTGAATTTTGCCAAGTGCTTCTTCCACATTGATATGAGCATGTGGTTGTCTCTTTTATTCTGTTGATTATAGTAAATTGCACTGATTGATTTTCAAGTGTCAAACCAACCTTGGATTCCTAGGATCAACCCCCCTTGGTTCTGGCGTATTATCTTTTGGATTGCTGGATTCAATTTGCTACTCTTTTGTTAATGATTTTTGTGTTTCTGTGTATGAATAATGTGTTCTGTAGTTTTCTTGTCATGTCTTCCTCTGGATTTGGTATCAGATTAATGCTGATCTCAGAACGTGAGTTGAGAAGTGTTCTCTCCCCTTCTGTAAATGTTCGATAGGCTTCACCAGTGAAGTCATCTGGACCTAGTGTTTTCTCCGTGGAAAGATCTTTAAACTGTGGGTTCTATTTCTTTAACTGATGTAGGTTATTTGGATGTTTTATTTCTTCTAATGGTTTGGTAATTTGTGCCTTTCAAAGAATTTGTCCATTTCATTTAGGTTGTCAAGTTTCTAAAGTTGTTCATAAAGTTCTCTTTTTATCCCTTTGACATCTACAGGATCTATAGTGATGTTTTCTTTTTCATTCTTGACCAGTCTAGCTAGAAGTTTACCAATTTTGTTTATATTTTCAAAGAACTAACTTTTGGGATTTTATTTATATATTAATAATATGATTTAAAGGACATAAAAATAAAAATAAATAAAAGTATTGCATCACTCATTGTGGCAAATTTGGAAAATATAGAATAGGATAAAGAAGAAAAAAATGCCATTACCCAGAGATAACACTGGGGACATTTGGGCTTATTTCCCTTCAGCCTTTTTCTGGGCACATAACACTAAATATATTTCTTTCCTTTTGCAAAACCAAAGCCCTGTTCTTTCAGCTGAGCCATGCAAACAGTCGTGTTTTTCATTTTCTCTGAAGGTTGTTTTCTGCATTGTCTGATTCACGGGTGTCCCTGTGATGTCCTGTCTCACTTGCTGCTCGATCCTACCACTGTATAGGGCTGGGCTGTGGCCAAGTCCAGAACCACCACCTTCATGGGGGATGGTCCAGAATGAATGGACCCTCTTCCGGTCATATACCCAGAGAATCTGTGGGTTTTTTCCTATTACAATGAACCCTGCCTAACCTTGTGAAAACGCTTACTCATAATACATTTTGATTCTGGCGACTATTTACTGGACACAGTTTTGTGAATTTTGAATGCACAACTACATTTATAGTTCCATGTGTACCACTTGAAAATGTCACCAGTGGTGTAATAGTCACCCATTTGAAAAGTGTAGGGCAGGTTTTATGTGTGTTCCCCACACCCAACATAGTTCCTGAAACCCAGAAAAATATTACAAATGAATGAATACATGGGATCATACCTAATCAACCCAAGAAGTCATATGTTCTCTGGAGGAATCATCACAGAGTGGTGGAAAGAGCATGGAGTTGACCCAGCCAGGACCTAGACTCAGCTCTGTGCTGTGTGATCTTGAGCAGATTAACTCCCCTCTCTGAGCCTTGGTTTCCCCATCTGAAATTACACAAATTTGTACCTATCTCCTAGGTTGCTATGAAGATCAGCCACAATAAAGGACATGAAAGTGCTTGACAAAACACAAATTGAGATGACATTGCTGTTACTCTCCCCAGTCAGGACAAATAGCCAAAGTCCCAAGCTCAGGCTGCCTCTCTGCCTGGACAGGGACAGTACACTGGCTATCTGATGTCTCCTCACTGCTTAATGACATCTTATAAAATCTGCATTATTGTCATGTTTAATTACAAAAGAACTAATATGTTTATTGTAACACAGTCAATCCTAGACCCAACCATTGTCAAGTTAACTGTGTGTTTGCTCCCAGACCCTGTGCGCATGAGTGTGTGTGTGTGTTTGCAAGTACATGGGCCTTAATTCTTTATGAAAACAGGCTCATTCGTGCATAATGTTGTGTGGCTTCTCTCTACCGGACTACGTATCGTGGAGATCTTGTCCCTCTTACCAGATGCAAAGCATCCCAGGAGGGGCAGAGTCACAGCTGTCCAACTGCTGCTGGCTGGATAGCTGTTTAGCTCGTTCCCAGTGTTGAGATCTCACACGTGGCTCAAGTAGAAGGGCTCGCCTCACCTTTCCTTCTGCGTCCCCACTGGCCTTTTTCTGCAGCCCTTTGGGAAGGATCATGACAGGCAACCCCCTGCTCCCTCAAACACAGGCTCCTCAGCACCCCCCTCCATCCTCTGGTCTCTCCTTTCCCACACACACTTCTATCTGTCCCACGTCCCCCCCTTCCCACGCTCATGCCCTGTCCCTGTTTCCTGTCCCTAGGCCTCCCCCCAGAAGCAGGTGGAGCCTGTCTGTGCTTTCTGGAACTTCAGTCTCAGGTGAGTTTCCCACTTCCAGGTTCTTTCAGTAAGGTGGCTTTTTAACCACACATCCGCTGGGCTCGCAGATGAGGCAGGACTCAGGCGTGCTGGGGGCCTGCATTCACCACCTGGCTTGCAGGCCCCACCCAGCCCCAGGACAAGCCGTGGAGGGAGAATGTGTTACCCAGGAGGTAATGAGCTCCCTGTCACAAGTGAAGGAGGCAGCACTTAGTCTGGGAGGTGCCCAGAAGGAGAATCGCCTGTCAAATGGGTGCTAGGTTTGATTATGTACTGGGGCCCCAGGGCATTTGGAGGGGTAGGGGGGTGCCTAGGGTTTAGCCCCAGCTCTCCTCCCTGGCTCTTTAACTGAGGGCATGCACATGAGTCACAACTGATGAGTAATTAATGCAGCTAATAAATGGCAATCACTGGTATCAGCCCTGTCCTCCTACTGTCCCTGAGGCTGCTGAGCACATTTTACAGACGCGGGAGGGGCAGTGACTTGCCCAGATCACACATCTGGTTAGAGGCAGGGCAGCCATGGGCCCCACGTTTTGAGGTGAGGCTTTCCCCTGCCTGCTGGCTGCCCCTCCCCAACTCCATCCCACCTCGAGACCCCCTTCTCTTCTCTCCCCATCCCCGAAGCCCAGATACAGGGGGCTCCTGGGCCACCACCGGCTGCTCTGTGGTCGCCCTGTACCAGGACTCTACCGCCTGTTTCTGCAACCACAGCACAAACTTTGCCATCCTGTTGCAGGTGTATGACATCCAGGTGAGCACCTGGGGGAGGAGGGAGGTGCTGTCAGAACCAAATCTTAAATGACTAACAGGGAGTAAGTGAAAAGACAAAGGCAAGGCGTCCCAGGCAGAGGCTGGTCTGAGCAAAGGCAAACAGGCCAGATGCGGGGACTTGTCACAAGCACCCTACCTGGACAAAGGGAGGAGGGGCGGGTCAGGGATGAAGGCCTGGGCCCTGGGGGATGAGGGAGTCGTCTCTGGGAGGGCACAGGTGGGGGCTCGAGGGGCTGTGGGCTCTGTGGGTCTGGGGTTCAGGAGGGGGGTCTAGGCTGGAGATGGAGAACTGGCAGGTGAAGCTGGCAGCCCCCTTTCTGATGGCAGTTCCATCGTCCCCCTGTGGGTTGTTGTCTGTCACATGGGATCCTGTGCCCATGGGCATGTTGGTCGCTCTTGGAGCTGTGGAATCAGTGACCGGGACCAGTTTACAGGGAGCCAGCAGGAGAGAAAGACGTGCAGAAGCCCACTTACTAAGCGCCCGCGCGTGCAGGCCGGGGCCCCGCCGGGGGTGCTGTTACTGCCCCGCGTTACTGCGGAGAGGAGGAGGCTGGGGGAGCCTCCGAGTCACCGGCGGGCGGGCAAGGTTTGTCTGGGTCAGATCAGGGTGGTGACGGGGTGCTCTCTCTCTCTGTCCCTCTGCAGAGAGGCCCCGAGGAGGAGTCGCTGCTGAGGACTCTCTCGTTTGTGGGCTGTGGTGTGTCCTTCTGTGCCCTCGCCACCACCTTCTTGCTCTTCCTGGCAGCGGGGTGAGGGGACCGGCCTCAGCCTTGTCCTGCCCTCACAGGCCTCCCTGTCCCTCCTCGGGGCAGGTGTCCAGCCTCAGTCCCCATGGTCTGAGTCTCCTCTTAGGGCCTCCTGTGGAGCTGCCTTCTCTGCCTCCATTAGCCGCTGGGGACCCAGGTGGCCAGGGCCCAGCAGGGGATGGGGCTGGCCATGCTGTTCCAGTTAACTGACTCCTCTGTCTGTCCAGGGTCCCCAAGTCAGAGCGTACCATGGTCCACAAGAACCTCACCTTCGCCCTGGCCTCTGCCGAGGGCTTCCTCATGGCCAGCGAGTGGGCAAAGGCCAACAAGGTGGGCCACCAGCAGGTGGGAGCTCAGGGGTGCCCAGGAAAATGCCTGAGGACGTGTCTGGGTTGCCCTCCCCCCCACCTTCACTTGGCTCCCTTTCCCTGGGGAGGAGCAAGGCCCAGAGTGGAAAGGCCCTGAACGGTGGAGCTGGGCCCAGGCGCTGGCCAGAGACCTTACCTACCAGTTCCTCTTTGGGCTGGCAATGCCAGGCATGGGCATGGCTGACCCCAGTGGGCACCCCCCACAGGTGGCATGTGTGGCTGTCACAGCTGCGATGCACTTCCTCTTTTTGGTCGCATTCTCTTGGATGCTGGTGGAGGGACTACTGCTGTGGAGCAAGGTGGTGGCCGTGAGCATGCGCCCCGGCCCGAGGATGAGGCTCTACTACGCCACAGGCTGGGGTGAGGCCCCCATCCCTGCTCTTGCTCAGACTCCTCAACTGTGCCTTACACGGCCTCCACCACCATCCAACACCAGCAGCCTCACCTCCACCTGGCGCCCACTTCCACCCAAGACTCGTGCCCGCCTGGCGCCTGCCACCACCCGACACTCGTGCCCACCACCACCCAGCACCAGCCCCAGCCTGTCGGACACGAGCTCGGTGTTCTCAGTTCCGTCAGCCTCCAACTTTCCCCAACCCCAATTCTTCCTAGTTCTCCACTTCAACAACCTCAGCCCCCACCTCCAGCACCGTCTCCCCCAGTCCCTGGCCAGGTGACCCCCTCCCTCCACGTGCCGACCCTCCCTCTCCGAGGAGTCCCAGCCCAAAGCCTCTGGTCCAGCGCTGGCTCTGCCCACTCCCAAACCCCTCGCAGCTCCCCGGGTCCTCCCAGTGCTCCCAGGACAACCACTACTGTGGGACAGCTGTGGGCTGCAGTGCTGGGGAGAGAACAGAGTGGCCCTGAGGCCCGTCATCTTTCTCTAGGTGCACCTGTGGTCATCGTGGCCACCACCCTGGCCATATGCCCCCACGACTACGTGGCCACCGGACACTGCTGGCTCAATGTGCACACAGACACCATCTGGGCCTTTGTGGGACCTGTGCTCTTTGTGCTGACTGTGAGCTGACAGGTCTGGGGAGTGGGGGAAGGTGCCCATCAGGGATAGGGGCTTCCTTTCACCCACTAACACCAGGTCTCCAGGCCAACACCTGCATCCTCGTCCGCGTGGTGATGGTCACCGTGTCCAGCGCCTGCCGCCGGGCCCGCATGCTCAGCCCGCAGCCCTGCCTGCAGCAGCAGATCAGGACACAGATATGGTGAGGCCTGGACTGAGGGAGGCCAGGAAGAAGCAGAAGGCGTAAGGTCAGCTGGCCCTGGGTGCGAGGCTCAGGAGGGCACGGTCTTGTGGCCGTGTGTGAGGCTGTATTGAGTGTGTTTGCACACGTGTCCCTGCTTCTGGGTCACATGCACTCGTGCATGTCAATGTGCATAAACATGTGCCCGTGCATATGGGTGGGGATGGTTATTGATCCTGTGTGAAGTGGGCATGGACACCAGCCACTGTCCTGGGGTATCACTGTCTGCAGAAGGCACTGACAGCCTGCTAGGGACGAGGTAGGGAGACTCCAAAATCAGGTTGTCCCCAGGAGTTCAGGTTCAGGGTGAGGATCTGAGTCCCCACCCATCACCCTGCTAGAAAGGGGGACTCAGCTGGCCTTCCCCAACAGTTCTGCCTCCTCCCTGGCCTTCCTCTTCCCCACCCATCTTCTACTGAGGTGGGGCAGCCACGCTCGTGCACCCTGAAAAGCCTGGGAACTCCAGGGGTCCTTGGGGAGGGGGAAGGACCTCAGCTCTCCCTCTGGCCAGCTGCCGCCCCATTTCTTTCAGCCAGGTTTGGGACTGGGACCCCATATCCCCAGTGCCACCACCCCTACTTCATGCCATCTCTGGGGCTTTGAAAAGATGGCAGCAAAGTCCAGCCGAAAGGTCTCACTACCCCTCCGTCATGGGCCATGTCCCCTGGTCAGCAGCTCCGGACCCTCTGCAGGCACCAGGTGCTGCTCTCCCTGGGACCCTGCGGGTGCTCCCCAGGCTGTCCCGGCCCCTTCAGCCCTGCCCGCCCTCCCCCAGGGCCGCAGTGAAGCCGGTGCTGGTCCTGCTGCCTGTCCTGGGCCTGACCTGGCTGGTCGGCATCCTGGCGCACCTCAGCCCAGCCTGGGCCTACGCCGCTGTGGGCCTCAATTCCTTCCAGGTACCTCCAGGACCACGTGGGACTGGGACTGTGACACACGCCTGAGCTCAGAGGGGTGACTGGCTTGTCAGGGACTGGGGAGGGGGCGAGCTCTCCATCATGGGTGGCATTCAACAGCAAGCAGGGACGTTCTGTCAGGAGGACGGGGCGTGAGGGCGGGGGTGGGAACAAGTAACCTCAAATCCACGGGCAGGACACAAGGGAGGATTTGGTGGCCCGTCTGACAGTTCAGGAGGCATTGCTGGGGTTCATTGCACCCTGATACTCAAGGGCATGGCAGCAGGTGCCAGAGCCCCTTCAGGCCTTGTCAGGGGGCACAGGTGACCTCTTTCCTTGGGGTGGGTGGCCCACCATGGGGTCAGCACACTCTGCTCCCTCAGTGAGGACAGCGGTTTAGAAAAGGGTTTGGTTAGGAGGCCTGCGCGTAGCCCACATAAATGAAGTGACACGGCAGGACTGCAGGAAAGTGCCTGAGCACCCCCATGTGGCTCTCGCGTCCTGGGTCCTGCAGCGACAGATGAGGCCAGCTAGGTCCCTGTCCTCAAGGGATTTGAGGGGGACTCAGACTTGGATGGACAGTGACAGTGTGGGAGCCAAGTGCTGGGAGGGAGGGAAGTCCAGGGAGGGTCCTTCCTGCCCCCTGCCCTGCCCCTCGGCCTCCCTGCACTGCCCCACCCCGGGCACCTCTCCCGCCATCTGCACCCTCTGCTCCCAGCTTTCCCTGGCCCGGTCCCTCTCAGGGCTGATGAGTGGGGCAGGCCAGGGCCCAGGCTGGACAAGGCAGGCTCAGGAAATCTGGCGCAACCTCCACCCAGGGTCTGCAGAGCTTCAGAGCGGGGCCTCCGGGACCCTCCGTCCTTTCTCGGAGAAGGGGGGCTATGCCAGAGACAGCCACTTACAATGCCTGGTGCTCTCTCTGAGCCCTGGCCAGGCTCCTGTTTGTATCTCCCAACAAGCCTCATAAGTGGAGAAACTGAGGCCTCGTGAAGTCACTTGCCTAAGGCCCCACAGTAGGAGGAGCAGGCCTGAATCCAGAGCCTGTGTTGCCAGCCGGTGGGATGCTCGGCCCTGACCGCAGACGGGTCTGGCGTGGCCCTGGGGAGCGGTGCCCTGACCCAGCTGCTCACCCGCCCGTGCGGTGTGTACTGATCACCCACTGGGAGCCGGGCACTGTCCTGGGCGCTGGGATACAGCAGCAAACCGGGAAGCGAACAAGTGAAAAAAAGCAAAACAAGTGACATTCGTGGAGGGGACCAAAAGGATGCAAGGACCTGGGAGGGGTGCTGGCCCATGTGGTCTTCTCCCCCTGGGCCTTGGGGACTCAGCCACCTTCCGCTGGGCAGGGATGGAGATGGAGAGAGGAGAGAGAGGGGAGACTGGTGGGGGAGGAGGGAGGTCACGCTCAGAGCGGGGCCTTGAGACCTGCCTGGGCCCGTCTGGTGGGGACGGAGGGTGTGTCACTTCCTTGCAGGGCCTGTGCCCCAGTGCTCGCGGCTGCCCATTCCTGCTCTGCCCCACCCTGCCACGCAACCCTGGCCAGGTTCCTCCACCCTGTCACAGAGCGGTGGGGGCAGCCGCATGGCGACGGCTCCAGCTCTCTGGTGGGATCATCTCAGTTGGTGCCTGGGAACCGGGGGAGCACTTGGGCTCTTGGGCTCCAGCCTTCAGCCCTGGGAGACTGGAAGGCCTCAGGGAATCCCACGTAACCCCAGCTGAGTCTCCCAGTCTACGCCTCAGGGCAGGGGCTGTCCAGGTAGAATCTGACCAAGTCCTAGGCTCCAGATCCCACCTGCTGGGCCACATTGTAGCTTGGAACTTGTCCCTTTCCCCCACCCCAGCCCCAGGATCCCTCTCCATCAGATGGGGAGAATGAATCCACACACCCCCCCACCGGGGAACTGTTGTGAGGGTCAAGTGAGACCCCAAATGTGATGATGCTTTGTGAGTGGTGAGGCCCTCTTGGTCCCCACGAATGTTGGTCCCAGTCACTGTGTAAGTCCTTCACACGCAGCAGCTCCCATCCCTTCAGGAGACAAATCCTGGCCCATCCCCGCTTTCCAGATGAAGAGACAGAGGTTCAGGAAGGCAAAGGCCACTCAGCCAGAGGCACGGTCACAATGCACTCACAGGTCTGCTGTCGCAGGACCTGAGTTGCCTCGGAGCTCCGGGAAGGTGTCCCCGTCCGACCCCCACAGGGTGGGGAGGCTGTGAGGATGGGGCAGGCCTGGCAGGGAGGGGGGACACAAGGCTAGAGGGCAGAGAGGCTTCCTAGTGGCCAAAGGCTGAGGGCCTGGGCACGGCCCCTCTCGGTTCTGTCTTTCACAGAAGGCCAGGCTGGGGAGGAAGGGCGGGCAGGGTTTGTGTTCACAGCCTGCCTCGGAATGTCTCTGGGGATCTTGCTTCATCTCTGATGTGGCTGGTGACCACTGGGGGGAGCCCTGACCCCAGGCAAGGCGGGAGGCGTGGCAGTGGGAGGTGGGCTCCCAGGGAGTGACCTCCCGCCCATCCTGGGTCTGTCCCCAGGGGCCGTATATCTTCCTGGTCTACGCTGCCTACAACGGGGAAGTGAGTCTGGAGACTCCAGCTGCTGGGAGGGGGGTGGGGGCT